ACTACCTACAAGCAAATTGCTCCTTCCCAGGTGGGCGGGCTTGTGTACCTTCTAGGACCCCATGGGCCCCTCTAACAGGCTCTCCTCTGAGACTGGCAGTTTCCCCTTCTGCCACAACTTCCACAGGTTTTTACAGGCAGAGGTTTTGAGACTTGCTTTTACTGCTCTGGAACCTTGGGTTGCACGGCCTGTCTCAGTCCCTAGTTATTCCAGTTTATCTGCACGAGAATGTTGGCCCACCTCATCTACCAGCCACCACCTTGCTGCCTCCTCTCCAACCCGGCTGCCTGTATCCACCCCTCCTGCCAGTCTGGAAGAATGTTTCTTTTCTAACTCATTGGCTGTTGGACTTCCATACAGTTTGATTTTCTGACAGTTCTGGTTGTTTTTAAATTGGTTGTTACATTTCTTTTGGTTGAATGAGTAAGTGATGCATATCTACCTATGCCTCCATCTTGGCCAGAAGCTGTGTGTTCCATTTTAAAGTCAGTAAGTTGGAAATAGCTTTCATTGTCATCCATGTCTGAGTTGGAATTGCTGCCACTCCCCCTGCATTTTGCTCTTGATATTTAGAAATCACTTCTTATAGTCTTAGATATTTAATTTTTTAAAAGTGAGTGAATATGGTGCTCACCCATTCACTACCTATAGATTGCCTTGCCTGTTAAAAGAAAGAGAAGTCCCCTTCTCAGGTGAAGCTGGGCCCTATTTGGTGGCATTCACAGTCTTGGTGTTGTTTTTCCCAGAAGTCAGATTATTTCTTTGATCATCTGCAGCTAGTATTGTTGCCTGATGTTCTGCTGCTGGTCTGGGTACTTCCATTCTGTAATTTCTGTAATGGGGAATGGGTTAACTATGAGACAAATTAGAGAGTGAAGTAGAAGAGAAAGTAGTAATTATGCAGTATAGGTATTAAGCATGACTGGTGTTAATAATAGTTATTGAGTAAATGTTAGCTGTAATGTGCCAAATACCGTGCTAAGTCCTTGACGTAAGTTTTATATTTAATTCCCTTTGAGATAGGCATCATCCCCTTTTCAGAGATAGAACTGAGGCATGGAAATATCAAACAACATAGCCTAGGTCACGCAGGTGTGAGAGTGCTGAAAGTCTGAGCAAGTTACCTCCGCACTTGAAATTCACTTACCAGAAGAAAAAATATCTGAACTGGGCATGACCAGAGAAGGCTTCAAAGATGAAATATGATCAAAACTTGAGCCTTCGAGAAATTGTTTAAGAGAAAAAAACAAGACTAAGCACAGAATGGGTTCTGATAGCCCAGTTTGGGGAGAAAATCATGAGGGAAGGCTGAGTGTGTTCTTACATGTGATGGAAAATTCCTGAGAAGGGTCCGAAGGATCTAGAGGGAAAAGGTGCCCAGGTGTGGCTCTGTGGGCTAGTCCTCAGCTTCCTGGTTCTCCAGGTGACGGAAGGACTCTGTACTGAGGCTGTGTGGTTCCATCTGGGATAGAGTAAGGGCACCACCTTTTATTGTCAATTCCTGATGTGTGGCAGTATGCTTCACACACTCACACTCAAATACTGATTGATTACTTCTTCTGTGAAAGTATTCAGAACAAGCAACACACTGAAGGTTTAGAACCATGTTGAATTCCAAAGATGGGTAGCTTAATTAATATGATCTTAGGATTTATGGTCAAGAAGGATAAATTTTTCCTAATCCTTCCAAAACTGTCACCAAAAGAAGTGGATTTGGATATTTCTAATAGTATGAGCTTAACTCAGAAAAAGAGACACTGATTTCAAGATCTGAGAGATTTGGTTTGGTAATATTTTCTAGTGTGAATTGTCATTTTATTGACTTAAAATCAAGTCCTCTCTAAGTGCCACGGACTCTGTACTTTTTGATTTCTCTGAATGTTGATTGTAGTCAGGTAGTTGAAAGACTAAGACCTTTATAGTGTGCCATTCATTTCAGCTGTAGTAAAAAGTGAAACCCCCGAGGTTCTCGTCTCAGTCTTTTTATGGTCATCTTGTTAGACTGCGAGATTAAAGAACTTGATCTCAATTTACAAGTGTGGATTGACATTTCATACCTGGCTCTTCTCCAAGAGTTGATCTCATTTTATCCCAAAACATTAGAAATCAAGCACGCCAAACCTAGATTGACATAATTTGATTTGCCACATTAGCTAAGTCGCAATTAACTGTGTTAAACTTCCATGGTCTGTCTAGTGCAAGTGTTCTGTGTGATAATTCTGTAAGCAAAATCTCACATCATTTTCAAATTTTTTTAAAAAAGAAAACCAATCTGTTTCTTCTCAGAAAGCTTTAGTTTTGTATATTTAAATTCATGAAAGTGTCAGTGGTTTTATTTATACCCTTCTCCCTGTAATGGCTAAAAAAATACTTAGTTTTCCCACAATATCTTTGTGCAGCTTCAGTTGTCAAGTGGCATTTTGCTTAAATTGAAAAATATAGAACAAAACAGCAAGCTAGGGTTTAAAAATTACAGCTTGCTTCTGCAGCTGTTGTTTAAATCAAAAGCTACCAGCAAATCCTTTTGCATCAGTTATACTAAATTTGTAACAGTCTATATTGCATGGAGTTGTTGGAAGTCTCCCGGGATAAAGAAAGAGTAAGCCTAACATTGAGGGAAGTGATTAAAGTCGCAATATCCCCTTTTGTGAATGAAAAGAAAATATAGACCTCCTTTCTGGACCTAATCTAAGACTTTATAGGAAGGAGGAATACATTTGTAAAAATTTAATGGGAAACAAAGAGTTCAATTATTTTAGTTTTACCATGCAGAAATTTTACTGGCATTCTGGGACATTCTCATTTTTACTCATCACTATTGTTAAAATCCAGACTTGAACAAGTTTGAAAATGCATAGAAAATTGTTTCATTTTTCCTCCCCCCTCCTTTTTTTGTTTTGTTTTAGAGGTTTAGCAGGTATTTGCCCATGTGGTATTATGATTTTAAATTATCGGTTTATTTAAATTTTTAAAATAATATGTGGTGGTTTTAACAAGTAAAATAGCCTCATTCCCTTGAGATAGCTGTTGTTAGCAGCCTGGGCTATAGTTTTATGCTATTGTTTTAAAAAATAACATTTGGGATAAAAGCCATAATTTTGTGCTTTAGAATTTGTGTTCTGAGGTGATTTACAAAATATTGCCCTCAAATGAGAGTGTAGGATATACTTTGTATGTTCCCAAATAAATAAAAAATATTTATTGTCTCTCCCCTCAACAACAACAACAACAACAACAACAAAGTTTTTCTTGTTCTTAATTTTTGTCTGTCTTGCATGTGATTGTGTATCTTTTGATAGTGTTTCCCCAAGATGAAAAGAGAACCTGCTGAGGGGAATTGAGCATGTAAATGCAACAGTTCTGTGACTTGGCCACTCTTCAATGCCTGTTTCCTTTTCCAGTTTAATGTAGCACCTGTGGGTATGAATATGCCAGCTGTTCTGCGAAGGGGAGTCCTGGCTCCTTCTTGCTTTATGAGCAGCATTGGTTAAGACCCTTTCTTTTTTTAAAAAAAATTTATTTATTTTTAGGGAGGGAGAAAGAGAGGGAGAAAAAATCAATGTGGGAGAGACACATCAACCTGTTGCCTCTGGGGACCTTGTCTGCAACCCAAGCATATGCTCTCACTGGGAACTGAACCGGTGACCTTTTGGTTTGCTGGACGACATTCAACCCACTGAGCCACACCAGTCAGGACAAGGCCCTTTCTTGAGATTATCACATATGTACTTGCTCCAAGGTTGAAATTCTATGTGCTGATGATTTTTTTCATTTTCTGTAATCATTGGTCTGTTTTCTTAAGGTACTGAGAAAAAACTGGTTGCGAGGGCCAATTTTCTAAGTGGAAGACATCTTTTCTTGTCTTTTCTTAATGAGATAAATTGAGATAGGGATTGGTGAAAGCACATGCTGATGCCAGCTCCCTCTCCAGGGTCACTGAGAAGATGGAAGGCGATTTGAAAGAAAGACTAAAGGGAAGGGACTAGTCAAAGAACATGTATGAATGACCCATGGACATGGACAGAGGGATGGGGATTGACTGTGGGAGCGGGGGCGGGGAGGGCAGGATGGGCAGAGGAGCAAAAGGGCAAAAATGGGGACAAGTACAATAAAATAACAATTTAAAAAAATCCTAAAAAAAAGAAAGACTAGAGCTCCAACAGACACCTAAGTCCTGGGATTTGCTGGAGGGCCTTCTCCCCAGAGCATGTGCATTTGAAGGCAAAGAGTCCGGGGAGGGTCTCACCTTGGTCTGTGGTGTCACGGAGTGTCTCCAGTTGTCTAGGAGTGAACTGAAAAGCCTGAGTAGGAAAGAGCCTCACAGAAAATAATGTACAGCTTCTGGGAGGAAGGTAGAAAACAATATCTTGCATCATTTATAGAGATAACTTTATTTAAAAAGGTGATGGAAATTGTTGATAAGAATTAGTATTGGAAGAATTTTGTTCTAAAACAAACTTTTTAAAAAAACTCAGGTTTAATTCTTGAAATGGAGATTGCTTTAAACTTTTGGTAGGTAAAGAAACTCCCTCAATATATAATAGTATTCCTTTGAAATCTTGTGAGAAGCACCTGTTTTTAAAAAAAGCAAATTAGGGATCTCAATATGATAGGCAAGTTCATGTTGAAATCTCAGAGCACCATGAGATTTCATTTGTCTTCCTAACGTGTTTGCTGTTATTTTAGATAACCCAAGGCTTATCCTAATGTTCTAGAAGAATAAAGACAAATCCACAGAAAATTGACAAGTATTTATTCTGGCCATTAGTTATGAAGACCTTCCCAACCTGTTCTGTTCAAGCTGTCTGCAAGAATCGCAATCAATTTAAACTTACTTTTCTACCTCCCACTTTGGCTCAGTTCTCTCATATGAACCAACAGCTATAAAATAGTAAGAAGAAAGATATAACAAGGGAGGCTGAATTTAAACAGCCACTTAAAAATGTTTAGGTCATGGAAGGAATGATAAGTTCATGTGTGTTGTCTCTTCTTTTACTTAGGGTATTCCTGCCGGTTGGTATCACAGAATATGGCCCTTATCCTACTGAAGGAGGATTCTTTGGATGTAAGTAGTTTTTCAAAAGTTGCATTTGATGTAATTAAAGTCTTTGTTTAAAGACTATGACTAATTATCAGGATTTATTTTTTTACTAAACTATTGTAAAACTGTGTGTTTCTGTTTTTATTTATGAATGAATGACAAAGTCATATCTTTAAACGTCAAAATAGTTAGCTTGGAACATTGCAATGTGATAATACTTTATTTTACTCTACTAGAATTGGAGTTGTGCATTTAAAATTGGGTAGTTTTCATCTGTTTTAACTTCTGGTTATGATTTGTGTTAAGTGGTCATGGTTAATTCCAGTGTTGGTTAACAAGCAGACTTGTAGGATTTCCCTTCTAGTACAAACTTAAAAATAAAGATAATATTGAAGTGTCAGGAGGTGTTTAAATTTATAGAACAGTAGGATACATATGCAATAATTCGCTCACATCCAATGCCACCAGCATAGAGAATTGGATGGCATGGTTGTCTGAGCATTTCAGACCTGGACCTACCCCATGATGGCCTGGAGCCACTGATGAGCCCGGGGTAGGAGCCCATCAGAGGGTAACCAGTAATCTGGGAAGTGGTTTGATATGAAGATGTGAGCTCACCGATGAGAGTTATTTGTCGGGACTTTTAACAAGGGCTTGTTACTGGCAGGCACTCACACCACAATTTCAGTAAGAATGTATAAATGGCAATGCTAGGCGCAGATGACAGGGTTACTTACTGTTTTAAATGGAGGGGTATAATACAGAGATTTCTGTGCTTGCAGATTGGCGAGGCCATGGATCCTTCTGTGAAGGCCAAGGCACTCTCCTCTCCCTCTTTAGGACTCTAAAGCCAGGAGTCAGGGAGGGTCTCCGTGCTTCTAAGGCACCATTGGCCCGATATCCCCACTCTGGCTTGAAGGTTTAAGGATTTATTTCAATGTGCCTCTTAACCTTTTGCATCTCTGCCAGCAGGAAGCCCAGAACTCGCAGGTCATCCCTCATTTCCTGGACTCATTCTCCCGTGCTCTGGGCTCTTGCGGAAACTTCCTCTCCCCAGTGTTCCCATTTCCCCAGCACTCCTATCCCACAGGCCTTTATTTTTCTCTATAGAACTTTTCACCTTTGGAAATAATGTGTATTATTAACAGATAATTACAATATAAAATATATAATAATTGTGATAATATTATATATTATAATGTAATATAAAATTATAAAAAGGTAACATAAGATTTATCCTTTTAACCATTTTTAAGTGTAGAGTTCACTGGTAGTAATATGTTCATATTGTACAGCCATCTCCACCATCTGTCTCCAGAATATTTTCATCTTACAAAACTAAAATTCTATACCCCTTCAGCAACCTCCCCACTCCTCACCCCCAAATTCCTGGTAACCACCATTGTACTTTCTGTCTATGTGAACCTGACTATTCTAGGTATAGCATATAAGTGAAATCATCCAGCATTTGTCTTTCTGTGACTGGCTTAAATCACTTAAATCACTTAGCAAAACGTTCTCAAGGTTCACCCATGTTGAAGCATACGCCAGAATTTGCTTTTTATTTTTTTTTAAGGTTGAATAATAATCCATAATATGTATGTACCACATTTTGTTTATCCATTTATTTGTCAACAGACATTTGGGTTGCTTCTGCCCTTTGGCAATTGTGAATATTGTTGCTATGAGATGGGTACAAATATCTCTTTGAGGCCCTTCAATTTTTTTGGCTATACTATTCCAAGAAGTAGAATTGCTGGATTATATGGTGATTTTATGTTTAACTCTTTGAGGTGCTGCCACATTATTTTACATTCCCAGCAGCAGTGCACAAGTGTATCAATTTCTCCACATCCTCACCAACACTGTTCTTTTCTTTTATTAAAAAAATTTTAAATATTTTTGATGGTAGCATTCTGATAGGTGTGAGGTGATGTCCCATTGTGGTTTTGATTTACATTTCCCTAATAATTAGTGATGTTGAGCATCTTTTCAGGTGCTTATTGGCCCTTTGTATATCATCTGAGGAGAAAAAAATTCAATCCCATTTTTTAAATTAGGTTATTTGTTTTTTTCTTTGTGAAATACTTTATATTTGCTTTTCACCCTCTAGTTCCTTAGAACATAAGGTCCATGGAGCCAAAGTCTGATTTTTTTCTTTAACTGGGCATTCTTACCTTTAGGACAGTCTTTTGCACAAATTAGGTACTCAGTAAATGTTCAAAGGGAGTGAATGAACAAACTTAAGATAATTTTCCAGTTAACAATTATAACTTCTATATAAAAGGTCATGCTGATGAGGCAGAGGCTAGAGTTGCCATGGTGGGCCCAGTGCAAGCAGACGTTAGGAGGGACCGCACACTGAGGAAGCTGAAGCAGCACACTGGTGGGCGGCAGAGCGGCGGAATGCCCAGGGCCCTCGGATGAGTCCACCTAGGACGTCTGTACCAGAGCCCCCTTATTTCCTGATGATTTCCAGTTCTGAGGCATCCAGTCTTCAAATAAACCTCTTTTTCTGGAGGTGACTCAGAAGTGGGCCTGTATTATCCTTTTATACCAGGCGTTCTCTGGAATCCAAGAGATGGACTTTGATTCTGCACAGCACTGCACAACTTATACCACTGATTGAGACATTTGGTTTACCTTGGCCAAGGGGTAATTTGTGAAGCCAAACAGAATGTTTTATGGGTGTGTGCCTGACCTCCCTTGGTAACCTGTTAAGAATGTTTCTTCCTTAACCAGTTTTGAACATCTCTTAGTACAATGACTTTAATGTACTCAGCATCTGTTGAGCAGAGGTGCAATTTCTGTCCTTTTTTTTGTTCTTTACTCAATGGGGGCACTCCATATTTCTACCTAGGCTTTCTCTTCCCCTTCTACCTCCTCTTCTTCTTCCCTCTTATTCTTTAATTGGGTTAAAGGCATTTCTCTTCTTATTAAAATTTCACTTGGTGGGTGTGGAATAAAAAGCAAAGTGCCAGGGCAATAAATTAGATATACAGTAAGTTCTAGCAGAGCTCCCACGGGAGTTTTTAATGTTACTGGGCTCTGATGATAAAGCAGAGAAGACAGAGACAAAGGAAATGGCCCAAGACCCAGAAGCACTGGGCTGGCTTCCCTTACTTTCTCTCTCATAAAAATGTGAGAAGGAAGGGGCTCACCTCAAGACCCAGAGCTGGCACTTGTCACCTTCACTTGACCAATAAGTATGTCCAGGGTAGAGCTCCAAATGCTTATAAATAATTAGGATCCATCTCTCTGTTTTGAGTTTTTTAGCTGTTGCCAAAATAACGTCCACACTCTGGGATACAGATGAGACCAGTGGTCTTTGAAATAAGGATTGGGTGTTCATGGTGATGTACAACCTAGGGAGGCACTAGATGATTATATGTTAGAAGAAAATGTGATTTTCTTTTTTTAGGTTAAAAAAGGTACTAAGAAATCAGCTTTATTGATGATAACATGTGGATTGCCATTGGCACACTCAGTCCTGATTTCTGGCGTACTGACCAGAAGTGAGTCTGAGAGGAATGCGGAAGAGGAGGGGAGGCATGGAGTTCCACCTGTACGAAGGGTTAACGCTGGGGCTCATCCTCTGTTGCTGGCTTTTAGTCCATTGTAAAACATTGCCATTTATGTGTACTGGTTAAATGGACTTATGGACTACATTTAGTTTTGGTTAAACTGACTCTCATAAGGTGATGGCTTAAAAGGGGTCCTATTTTTTTAAAGAATGGAATTGAGATAATAACAATAATGTAAGCAGAAGCTACAACAATATGGCATTGCTTGACCTGTGTGCTAGTTAAAGTTTTCCTTCGGCTACTTGATTAAAACAAGGATCATATCTGACAAGTTAAACAAATTTCAAAATTACCCACAGGCTATTATCATTAATCATGAATGTTGCCCTAGATGTATATGGTATCTTCAAATAGAAGCTCTGGAAATATGAAACCATTTTGGAATCAGTAAGACTTTAAAAACTAAGAGTCCTAAGTATGAGAATAAAAATCAACAGTTTTATTAGCAATCAAAAAAACATGTAATATTCATGTCAGCTACTGTTTGACACTTCACAAAACCTACTGCTAACTGGTGAATAATAAACATCTTTTCATATTTGTTAGCAAAAGACAAAAAGTGCCAAGCCATTGGGGAGCACTTGTTTTCCTGCTGCAATAATATAGAGAAAATAACATGGTAACAATTAAAATGTACATACATGCATATGGATAAGAGACCTATAGACACCCTTTCTAGGATTTTCTAAGAAACAATTGGTTGAGCAAATTATGAAAAATAGGATATTTCTTACATATTTGGATGGAAGACTAGCTATTCCCAACATGTGTTAACTTACGGACTACACCAGTGATTTCCAAAGTGTGCCGCAAGAATTTTTAAAACATGCAGTACTTGAGTAGTCAGGGGCACTGACCTCTTTAACCTTAGACTGTCAAATAAAAAAAATGACCACAGCTACCTTGACCAGTGTGGCTCAGTTGGTTGGGCATTATCTTGCAAAGTAAAAGGTTGTCTGTTCAATTCCCGGTCAGAGCACATGCCTGGGTTGCAGATTTGGTCCCCAGTCAGGGGCTTGTTTTGAGAGCCAACTGATTGATGTTTCTCTCCCTTTCTTTCTCCTTCCCTCCCCCTTTCTCTAAGGATAAATTTTTAAAAATCTTTAAAAAATGACAACAGCCAATACAACAATAGCCACAACAGTAACAGCCAACACCAACAACAACAACAACAACAACAACAACAACAGATCAGTGAGAATGAATCAAAATTATACCTATTTTTTTGGTCAGATTGGCAAAATATAGTTTTGGTGTGCCACAGAATTTTAGTAATTAGTTTATTTGTGCCATGAGATGAAAAAGGTTGAAAATCACTGAAGTATACACACACACACAACTATTTTTTTTGAGTCATCAAAACAAAGTTGTATTGGTAAAAATATATTTTTCTAAGCAAAATATTAATGCTTTAACACAAAATGTTTTGTGAAATAAGTA